GCTCTTCATAAGAGCTGATGCAATCCTTAAACTGCTGGCTGGGGAGTTTTGCAAGAAAAGGAGACAAGCCAGAAAAAGATACACCATGCAGCCCTGCTACAAACAGTGATCCGTAACCAAAGTTTTACAATGGGGATTTTATCTCAAGAAACCACTGTCCTTCTTTGTGCCTATCTGTCTGCAATTTCCTCCTCAACACTGGTGCAGAAACTACACATGCCACAGAATCAGAGCATAAGGCAGGTACAATTTAGGATTGTGCCATCCTAAGTAGTGCACATTTTTTGCTATCTGTCCAGCCAATATAATGACTTGAAATATGGACAATTTTGGTAATTTCTGAAGGTCTGTATTCTTCTAAAGGCAGATGGACAACATGGAAAAGGCAGGCGCAGTGATCCCTCATCTCTTCCATTCTCTGCATGCCTCAGTCAAAAGCACAACCACGCACTTTGTCTTTCTCTTCTTTCCTGTCTCATCCTCTAGTAGGAACTAGAGAAAACTAAGCAGACTCAGACTGTATCCTCAGCTTTGCAGAACCAGGGTAATAGGTCATTGTTAAGAAATCTTCCCCATTCCCTCCAACAGGTTGCATTTTATAAAGTTCCTATGCAGAACTCAGAATTTCAAAGTAGAAGGCAACTACCAATGAGAGACTGTTTGAAATTTTGATGAGGGGTGGGAGATACCTTCTACCTCACCTGTGCCTGCTGCACAACAGGAGGCAAAAAAAACTGAGCAAGAAGAAAGTCCAACGCCCATTCCAGTAAAAGAAAAGAAACCAAGGAATCCTGAAGAGGGCAGTACAAAAGCCTGGATGGGGGCAGAGGAAGCCTTGGATGAGATGTCTATATGTATGTCTGGTGCTGAAGAAAAGTTCTACAGATACATTAGACTGCTAAAAAGTCCAATAAATGGGTCCTAGAGCAAATCAAGCCTGAATTCTCCCTAAAAGCCAAGATGACTAAACCAAGACTGTTGTACATTAGCCTTACCATGAGAAGATATGATAAGGAAGAAAACAGTAGGAAAAGAGAAAGACTGAATTCCAGATGGAGAGACTCAATCAACAAAGCCATGGCTGCTCTGAGTCTATAAGACCCGTGTCTGGCTGTTGATGACAGGGTGACTTGGAAATTTCCCATTTATTGGCATGCCATGTGTCGAAGTCAACTTGATAGTAGTTAACAATAATACTAACACATGTCTTTGAGAAGTTTCCTTGCAGCTTCCTCCAAAGTCAAGGGGAGCCAACTTTCCTGGGGAAATCTCCTATAGGATTCCCTGAACACAGGTAGTGGTGGGGAGCCAGGGGGAGCCAGTTCCATCAGAGGATATGGTCTCAAGGAGACATGTTCATGAATATGCCTGCCCAAAGAAGGAGGGAGGAGATTTATCGCTGCTGGTGAGTATGCCCCTCTGAGACAGTTGTGTTTATGTGCATAAGAATATATATATGAGTGCATAAGAAAGTATGCCTGCATGAAATACAATTCTTGGGATCACCAGAGTGAAAACCAGGAACAGTTTATATACCTTTCATGGTTATGTAGAAGTGGGCATTGCAGAAGGTGCTGCTTGAAAGTGAATGCATGACAAGCAAAATGTTCTAAAAAAAACCCTCTCCTATACAACTATTAAAGATAGAGGAGCTCTCTCCCATTTTCAGTCTGATAACACTAACCTTGACTAGGGTGATCACGCCTACCCTTTGGATTGCCTCAAAAGTGGGCAGAAAACATAGAAGTTACACTTCAATAACCAACTTTTCCCATCTATCATTGGTTGCCCATGCCTCTGCTCCACTAACCAGAATAGGAACCAGCGATGATTGTATCCCTGCCATTCAGAAGAAGAAAGCACTATTGCTTTGCCAGGGTCACATTGTGCTCTGTAAATCTGTAACACAAGTTGGGCCTCTCTGAGATGCAAAAGATATATGATAAGGTGTTACTTTGACAATTAATTCTCTCTTATATTCTAGCAGTTACATAACACACACAAAACTGAATTCGTCCCACCTGTCTCTCAGGGACATCATTACATCAGACAGAAGAAATGTGAGGCCTTCTATATTTGCAGGAGAGGGTGGATTCAAACAGCAAAGCAATAAAACAATTTGTTTACAAAGGAAACACTGACAAAACTTTAGGCACCAGATCAGAATGACAACGAATAGAAAGGATTGTTGTTCCTACTGGAAAAAGAGGTCACCATTCTTAGGCAGCAGTATCTAATCTCCAGGCTCCTTAGTAGTTCTTCCCTCTCCTGGGATGGAAATATCAAAATGCACACCCATTGCCAGAACAACCAAGTTTACTGATCCTTATTCTTCATCCATGGTATTTGCCAGCCTTACCTGAACCTAATACCCACCCCAATGTGTTGGAATACAATACCCATCATATTCAGCACCATCAGCTGCTAAAGGTGGAAACAATGGCCCTGGATGCGCCTTAGAACTGGAAGCAGCAGGATGAGGAAGGTTGAGCAGTAAAGAAGTGTTTGGAACTGCACAGTCCTCCCCACAAACACTAGCTAGTTTCACCAATGGACAGGGACAGTCAGGGCCTCCCATCGTGTAGAAGAGGGATTGCATAGCGGATTCAGAGTGGAAGAGAAACGTGGTCAACAGAGAGAGAGATAGCAAATGGCACACATATTTTACATCATGAGTGATATCCAACATGTATTGTAACCCCTTATCCTTTTCTCCTGACCTCATTACTACTGCTCCTCTAACCCTTCTTCCTCTTATGCAATAAGCAGGTCAGGAAAGAATTAGCACAGAATGGAGTTTCTTATTACAGCATGTTATATGCCAAAAGAAATAGAAATCAAAGCCTCACTCCTTCCCTAGCTCAAAAGAGTGGTAGAAAAACAATCAAACTCCACTGAGAAGAAAAAAAGCATTATCGTTTTACTGAGACACCAAGACGCAACCCATAGGGGGCTTTTTTTGGTACATTTGTAACTTGTGGGTGGCACTCAGAAACAGGAGTTTCTCGAAGAAAGGGAAAAATATGAGAAGTTACAAGAAAGTGAACAGTGTTCATTTAAATTTGATTGTGTGTGTTATGTGTACTCCATTCCACTATCAACACTGCCTACACACAAACAACCACTTTATGAGCTACTAGGGTCTATCCATATGAGATCTGGAATGAATTGCAGATGCATGTTGGACTGCCTAGATTTCTAACAAGAAGCTCAGTTTTTTAAATTGTTTTTCACACATTAGAGACAAGATTGCAAAGCACACTATGCCCCATTATATACTAAATACACCTTTGTATTTCTTATGCAAACAGGCAGAATACTATTACTAAACAACCTCAGCAGTCACAACTTAGGTGAAGCTTGGACACAAAGTGGTCAAGTAGAAGTTGTAGCAGACCTTGATAGGAATAGCTCAGTACATAGACCAAGTTAACTCAAATTGCCTTGCATTCTTGATTGGCTCTGAAACGTTCTACTCTAATTCTGGAGACCAAATGAGGTTTGCAGCACAGGCTAGAGTGGCAAGGACTTCTAATATGAATTTGATCTGTTGCGCACATACCCCAAAGGGGTATGTATCACTACCCAGGGGAACTCAAGGCAGCCTACATGTGGACTCTAACACCTCTTGTTGATATGGACCTCATCACTCTGTCCAGTTTCAAAAAAGGAAGAGGCAAAGGAAAACTAGATTCCTTACATCAGTTATTCTCAAACTGTGGGTCCCCAGGTGTTTTGGCCCACAACTCCCAGAAATCCCAGCCTGTTTACCAGCTATTGGGATTTCTGGGAGCTGAAGGCCAAAAACATCTGGGGATCCACAGGTTGAGAACAACTGCCCTACAGAATCCCTACATCATTCTGCTCTGCTCAGAAGCCAAGTCAATACACAAGGACTGAAAGCCTTCCCCATCCTGAACATTGAACAACTCAGAATTCCAGAACCTCAGCACTTAGCAAGGCAAACTAGATCCAAAGCATCTTGACCAGATGTTCGTTACTATTCTTAACTCCTGATAGCAACAAATCCACAGTTTTCTAGATAATGTTTTAGAGTTGGACAAATGTAGAAGCTGGAACTAATAAGGCAAGCTGCAATCTCAGATTGCTCATTTACTCCCTCTTCTCATTTACTCCCTCTTCTCCATTTTAAAGGACTTAGAAAAGAGTCTGCTTTTGCAGGAGACAGCATGCTTTGCAGCTTCTTTACTCTGTCCCCGTTGCACCTATAGATCACCCAATAATAAGAGCTCTGTGTAACTAATGCATGCACCCATGGGGATTGATGATTTCATGTAAGACATAATATTCAATATGATATTAAAGCACCTATCAGTCTACATATTTTCCTAACTGGAAATATGGGTGCAATTGGGAATTACACACATACGCACAATCACGTGTACATGCACATAAACATGTGTTGGTGTATGTGAATACATAAGCACAAACACAGAGAGAGACACAATTCCTCACAGATTTGAATGTAATCCCAGATGTATTAATCTGCAAGGATGGATCTTTGCCACATTTGCTTTCCCTGAACCTCTGGCAATCCTCCAGATGCAGGAAATGTAGCACATACAATTCTTGTTAATGTGTGCCATAGCCTTAATCATCCTCTCCCAGTATAAAAGTAGAAAGGGGCAGTTAGTGATGCAGTGTTTAGGCATGTTGGAGAAACAGAGAAATCCAAGCCACTGAACAGAATGAAGGATTCATTAAAGCTGAAAGCATGACAGGTCTGACTACTGTACTTGGAGATGATATCTTCCATGTACTAGAACAACGGCACCAAAAACAAGCAAAATTTCATCACGTATCAGCCATCATTTGTTGTGGTTTTCCTACTATTCACTCCTCTCTGCCCCAATATCAAAACAGAGCCTTAAAAACCTTTATATATTAACAGGATAGGAAAAGGTACAGGAAAGAGAGAGATAGCCATTTTGAAATTAAATGTTGGGGCAGGGGTGGAAGGATACAAAAGGTAAACTTACTTTGCCACTTTTGGCTTGCTGGGGCATCCACCAATCTGTCTGTTTAAAAAGCATCAGGGCTAAGACTGCTGCACCACTTGGAGCCTTGAGCAGCAACTTCCAATGCTGATGCTGATGCTGCTACTCACAGAGAAGCAGAGTGTAATACAGAGTGAGAGAGTGCGCAGAGCGCAACGCTGCAGAGAAAGAGAGAGAGGGAGAGAGGAACGGCAGAGTGAAGCACCAAGGCACTGATTAATTCAGCCTGTTGCCAGTCAGACTGCTGCATGCTGGAGATGGGGTGAGAATAGAGGGCTAGGAAAGGAAAAGAAGTTCATTAGGATCACATCCCACATGGGGGCAGAAGGGCAGCATCCAAAGCCAGAGGTCCTATGAAAACATCTGCATATTGGACAGAAATGCGTACTCAAGCATGGAATGATGCTGAAAACAAGCTACTCAATTTAGAGCACCAAGGTTCTGGAGAGTATAGATGCCCAGCACTGACTATACTAACAGAAGAAAGGGAAGGCAAACCCAGAAGGAGGGAAACCATCTTCAGAGCAGATAAAACCCATGAAGAGTTGGAGATCTGTAAATACAAATGATCTCTTAAGAAAGCTAAGATTTTCCTAAAGCTGTTTCAATGATATTATAACAATACAATTCAAGAGGAAGTGCCCTTCAATTTGCTAGGCAGCACAGGCAATTCTCATTGGTATTTCTTCCTCCTTCCTCTCCCAGCAGGGCTTCCCAGCAGTAATCAGGATGGAGAACAGCAGCAAGTCCCCCTCACAGCATCAAATATTCATGAAATCTCAGGAGGAGACTCCAGGGAAAGGTGCAGTGCAGGTTATTTATAACAATCCTATTGGGTCTGGGGCTTTGCCACTGACCAAGATGTTGGGGCAAAGGTGGCAGCAACAGGGGTGGAGATATATAGGGGAAAGCAGAGGACACTAGGCTACTAAAGGCCAGATAATCGCAGCCAAAAGGAAAGGGGCACAATAGACCAAAGGTTGCAACATAAGAACAAATCACAATTAAAATAGTCTCATTCCACACAGCAGCCTCTCTCAGTCTGTTCAATCAATGACAAATACATAACCATGGATTCTGCATCCATGGAGCCAACCATCCACAGCTTGGAAATGTTTCTGAAAATTCCCAAAAGCAACCCTTGCTATTCACAATTTTTACAGATCTATCTTACTACAACATAGTATATAATGAGACTTTAACAATCATGGTTTTTGGTATCCACAGAGGATCCCAGAACCAAATCCCAGTTGACAGCAGGTGCCCACTGTACTGCACATCCCTATGCCTGGAATACGTTCACCACCTCCTCCTCTGTGACCAGCAGTGTGGTGAGATATGTTAAACCTTTGCTGATACAAAGATCCAAATTAAATAAGATCTTTAAAAAATGACTGTCATAAAGGAGAAAAACAAGATTGTTTGAACTATCACAGTTTAAAAGCCAAATATATTTGGCCATGAATAAGCCACTTCCATGAATAACTCTGGCTTAGTCATTTCTATGCAATGTAGAGATGATACCATCTTGCTGAAAGCTCTAAAACACCCTTCCCCAATCTGTTTTAAGATACAACTCCCATGAGCCCCAAACAACATAGATAATTATTTAAAAATCACAAAATCACAAAATGTGGGAACTTCAAAAAAACCAGAGAAAATTGAGAAAACTTATTGATGGGAGAAAAGTGTCACTGGTTGCCTCCCTGAAGCATGCATCTAGAGCTTAATATCAATTTCACTGTTAATTTTTTAATTTACAAACGATAAGGGAATAGGGGCATAAGGGAAGACAGAAAGAAAACATGGATTCCTGATTCCTAACATTGAGACAGCCAGGCCAACCTGAGGAAACTGACTTAACAAGAATGTGCATACCTTCCCTTCTTAATCTACCCAAAGGCCAATAGCTACAACAGACTCCCTCACACCAGCAGCATATTTGGCTGGTTATGATGCAGAGTCTGGCCAGGGATAGCAAGTCCCTCACTCTTAAACTCGGTCAGCACTTACCACAGTAAAGAAGTCTACTGACTGCCTTCCTCCTGTTCTACATCCTGTTACGGGTTATGTGAAAACAAACAAAATGCGTGCAGTCATGTCCACACTTCCCCAGCCCTTTTGTGCATCCACAATGAGCAAATACGAGCCAAGAAAATGGGAAAATCAAAATTTACTCTTAAGTAGCAGAGTCAATGAGAAAATGAAACAAGCAGCTTCAAAAACACAAAACCTCCAGCTCTGAAATAGCTCAGTCCATCTGGAGCAACAAACTCATATAAAGTTATTTGTATTAAATTCATGCATCTTCTTTGGAGATTTCAGCTTCACTCAATGGTGCAAGGAGACAAGCATAGTAGGCTCTCAGCCAGGAACTTACTCCGAGTAAGTTCTGAAGCAAGTGATTCAGTAAGTCCCAAAATACATTACAAACATTCCCCAAGTTATACCCCATTCAGGGAGTGGTTCAAGCTTGTTATCCTTGATTGTTCCAATTACCCAACTATGAATTGTGATTGACCAGGTGTTTTTCCCTTAACACACACACACACAGAAACTTAGTCAAATACATGCATATGCAGTAATACATCCCACCTTCTGGACTTCTGCTTGCTCCAAATGTTACCATATTACATTTTAACATTTTTGTTTGTATATATTTGATATTTCACCCTTTAGTGGGTGAAACATTACTACTGCATAGCTCAGTCTGTAGGGATAGGGAGGTTTGCTCATCCCTGCCCTAGGTAGTGAATTCCCATCATGCATTTGTCTTTTCCAAGATGACTTAAGTTTTCCTCAATGACAATCAGATGTGAGAGAATACAATTTAATCAAGAAGGAGGGCACACAAGAATAACTCTATATATCTACCAAACACTTAGTGTAGGCTGCCAAAGAATAGATCAGCAAGCTAGGAAAACACGGGATGTAAAATACATGAATAAATACCTCTTGGCTGTTTGGTGGCCCTTGTGGGGTGGTTTACAATAATGGTTTCTACACTCTACTCTGGGAAGCTAAGCAGGATCAGCCCTAGTTAGTACTTGGATCAGATACTACAATGAATATCAAATACTGTAGATCAGAGCCTCATAAACCTTTCCACTCAGAACCCTGTTGCCTCTAGAAATTTTTATGTGACTACAGGTATATAAAATAGGTATAAAAATCAAACATTTACGTATAACAAATCAGCATTTGCATGAAGTACACCTGAAACATCTTTTGCAGAAGCCATTGTAAATGCTACATGACAGATTCAAGTAAGTGTCCAAAACAGCCACTAGATGACATTCTGAAAACTTTTCCTCTTGCTTGATTTCACATGACCCCAACATTGAGCTAAGGGGACCCCATTTTGGGTCAGGACCCACAGTATAAGAAGCAGTGTTGTAGACAATATTTCAGAGTAAGAAAATGGCAAATCTATGTGTTGAGTAATACTTGTTGAAAACCCTATGAAATTCATGGGATAGCCATAAGTTTATAGGCAATTCAAAGGCACAGACACATAAAAATTCGTTTGACATAAATGAGATTTCTTCTTGCAGTGGACACAAGTTGGCTTGCAAGATACTATTTGGGGGGGGGGGGGAATCCTGACACAAAAGTCAAACAAACAATTTTATTTTAAAATGACAAAATTATAACAGTTTAAAACTAATTTAAAAGCTTCTGCGGCCACATGAATTATGAGCCAAAGCTTGCCTTCCCAAATAAAAAGATGCTTACCTGTCAGTCAAAGCATAACAAAAAAAATAACTTGCAGACCAGAGGCTGCTCACATGTATCCTGGTGCTTTTGGGAGCCTCTGTTTTCATAGGTATGGCTCCAACCTTCGTCACCAACTGCAGACATTGTCTATGAACCCAGTAGGGAAATATCAGATCTGCAATTAGTAGGCTGAAAGGCTCTTAAAAAGCATGAATGTGTGCATACTATTTTAAGGATTAGGTCAGATTGCTTCCTCCCCCAACCCCCAACATTGGTTCTTTCTAGAACTACCAGATTGTGTATTTTTAAAAATCACAAGAAAGAAAGATGATCAATTTTGACCTTTTCTCCCTTAAATGAGGTAAATCCATTTATATCTAAGTGATATCCCCTTTGATGGATATATAGAACATCACAGGTAGGGAATAAAAATACCATCCCATGTTACCTTTTACCTATCCTTCTTTTCCTTTTGTTTTATTTAATGATTATCCTTTTAAAAATCTGAAAAATCTGAAAGCTTTTAACATGATGACATTTTTTTTCAGGGAGACTTTCAGAAAGGAAAATTAGACCAAACCTGGGGTGCTGTATTTTATATAGTTCAGTGGGTTGTAATGGTTTAATGGTCTTAATTATGTATTTTTAACATTTTAATTTATAGGTTTTAATTTATACATTGTGCAATTTTAATTGTTAGTTGCTCTGACTCTCCTTGGGAGAGTCACAGCCTTCTCGGTGGTGGCCCCCTGCCTGTGGAACTCGCTTCCGAGCGAGATACGATCAATCCCATCCCTCCTGGCTTTCAGGAAGAAAGTAAAATCGTGGCTATGGGACCAGGCTTTCGGTCAGCAGACATAAATCAGCACCTTAGCTGAAATGGATTGGAAAGATGATTTACATGAGGATACGATTCTATTTGGTAACAAATGTTTTTATATTGTTTAATTAACGGCTTATGTATTTTATGTATTTAATGGTTTGATGGTTTGTTTAATGGTTATTGTATTAATTGTTCATGTAACGGCATCAAATTGCTGCCTGTGTAAGCCGTCCTGGGTCCCCCTTTTGGGGTAGAGAAGAAACGGGATATAAATACCAGAAATAAATAATAATAAAGTGGGATACAAATATAAATAAATAAATAGGTCCTGGTAAAAGTATTATTACACTATAGGGGTTCTCAAACTTTTTGAGCCATAGAGCCCTTTTTGAAGCAGAAGTTTCTTGTGGAGTCTAAGAAATATTTATATATTATATCATGCACGAAAATCACTAAAAAAAACACCCCCAAAAGATGGCCACCCAGCCTTTGTAATAATAATAGCAGTAGTAATAGGAGCAACCCCAAGGGCCATCCGGTCCAACCCCCTTCTGCCATGCAGGAAAAGCACAATCAAAGCGCCCCCAGGAGCAACTTGAGAAACTGCAACTCACTTCT